CTGCACTGGCAGCACAGAGCCTCATGCAGGGCTCAAACCCATGACCCATGAGATCATGACCTGAGATGAAATCAAGAGTCGGATGCCCAACTGACTGAGCCACCCAGGACCTCCCAAAATTACTTTCAACACTTACCATGCTCGGGTGTCTCAATAACACTGACAAATGAGTGTCTACAAACTCATGTTATTTACTGTCAACCAAACAGGGCCTTCTCAGTGATGCAGTCCTTCTTCCAAGGTCTCAATTAAAATTCTTTGTAGATGACTCCCAAACCCCAAATCTATTACCTCCAGCCCTGACTGTTCTTTGAATTTCCAGTCTAAGACATTTGCCCCCATCAATATTTATTAACAACTCCTTCTCTTATTTCCTTTTAATGGCACCGCCATCTGGTTAGTCTCATAGGCTCCAAATTATCCTTGAGTACTACCTGTGATGTCAAGCCTCACATTCCATCAGTAACTAGAATGTGTTGATTATTTCACTGCATATCTCCAAACAGATCCATGCTTTCCTATTTCCATGGCCCTCACCCCAGTTTATGTCATCATTCTCTCACATCTGTTTGGAAGATTGGCCTCCTAGGTGGACTGCCTGACTCCAGTTCACTGCTTCCATTCATCCGGCCACACCAACATTTCATTACTTTCATCATACTCGGTTTTGACTGTATTACTCACATCTTTTTGAAGCCCTCCCATAGCTCCTTACATTACTCAATAGAGTACACGTCCGTATTTGTAATTTTTCAAACTGATGCCCACATCCTTGCTTCTCAGCATTTCAGCCCTTCATGTGTGACCTCCCACTGTAGTCCAACTGTACAAATGGACTCTTGAACACTTTCTCTGTACTTTTGGCCTCTCTTAGTTTATACCAATTGCAGTGTCTGGATTTCCCCTTCCCTATTGCTATTAAAATGTTACCAGTCATCCAAGATCTAGCTCAGTATAAATGCCACCTCCATCACCTACATGATGAAGCCTTTCTCCTATTGCTAGTGATTTCTTTCTCCTTTCAGATAAAGCAACTGTTTATGGGTGTGCATACTACAGTTTTTTTTTAAATTTTTTTTTTAACATTTATTTATTTTTGAGACAGAGAGAGACAAAGCATGAACGGGGGAGGGTCAGAGAGAGGGAGACAAAGAATCTGAAACAGGCTCCAGGCTCTGAGCTGTCAGCACAGAGCCCGACGCGGGGCTCGAACTCACGGACTGTGAGATCATGACCTGAGCCGAAGTCGGCCGCCTAACCAACTGAGCCACCCAGGCGCCCCTGCATACTACAGTTCTAAGAGGTCTATCCATACATATCACCATCTATATCTCTGAGTCAAGGACACATCCTGTACAACCATAATCAGTGCCTTTGATCTCTTATTGCATTTTCCTTGTAAGCTCCTTTCATTGTTTTAACTTTGCAAACTTCTAGTTTGCTTTTAAAAATAGGTTATTATGCATATGTCTTACTTCCTTTGGTAGGCTATAAGCAATTTAAGGACACAAGTAGGCTATATTAAGCTTTTCATCCAACAATGTATCTACTAGAGTGTGTTGAAATCATATTTGTGGGAAGAATTAAGAGTGAAAATTTTCCTATAATATACTCTTTTCTTTCTTTCTCAAACTGCTACACACAAGCTAATAAATGAAAAATTCTTGTGGAATGCCACTTATGAATACTTGGCATCAGCTAGTCAACTAAGTCGATTTTAAACTGTTTATATAGATTAGTATATTTTCTCTTAGCACCGGTTTCTTTTGTTTCTAGTTCATTACCTTATATGCCATGTTATTTCCTTGTTTTCAAAATATCAAACCTTTCCTCTTTTCATTTTCCAATCGCAGGTTATTTCATTTGAAGAATTATTCCATTTTTTGTTCTAGTATTCCAATATGTGTCTTCATTTTTTTTTAGCTGGTGAAACTTCCACTTGAGGGAGAAATCCTTGCAATAAATCTGAGTCATTCCCTGTAATTTCCCCTTCCTTGTTAACCAAGAAAATGACTATAATCCAAACATATCTAATATTTAAAATATATAACAACAACTGCATATTACATTTCTATCTTGGTACTTTTTACTACGGCTTTCTTATTTCTCAGCAAATTTCCTCTTACTGCATCCTATTCTGCTCTCCCAAACCTTTCCTTCACCACAATCCTCTCCCCAAATTACAAAGTTCTTCATCAGGCCTTAAACCTCTGTTGGTATAGGGACAAGCAAAAGGCTTTTACTCTACACAGTGGGTACTCAGTAAATGGTAACAAATGATACCTACATATTCACACTTTGGAGTCTGCAGATTCATGATGAAACCTGGCTCTTTGGTCTTTCTTTTTCCTATCCTTTCCAGGTCTATTTTTGTTTTTATTTTCATAAATTTTATTCTCATATTATTGCAATTTTCTGAGATTCTCATCTTCTCCATTTGTCCTCTAACAAATATTTATTCATTACTGTATGCACAAAGTAGATGTTATAGAGTTTGGTGGGATTCCAAAATGAAACTCAGAAACAAACCTTGCCCTGTAAGAGCTTATGGTTTAGCAGTGGACACAAAATAACTATAAAAGTAACTGTGAAGTCCTATTAATGTGTTAATATTACATGAGTATTACATGTCATATGACATAGGATTAGAAGGCTATAAATTTGGGAAGTCAGCTTTTTGGAGGTGGTGGTATCTGAGTCTTGGAGAGATTTGCACACCTGATGAGTAAGATATTTATGAAGGAGAATGCCAGTTCATTCCTTATCCATTTCACATTGACTACTCAATAATGTGTGAGGAGTTTATTTCTAAATGATCCAGAGCTTCTTTTTAAACCTAATGTGATTGAATGTATACATGAATAACATTTTACATTTTAAGAAAAATAGTCATTTCTCATGACTATATTTCCCCTTTGGACGCTTTACTTTCCTATTGACCCAAATCAATAAGTTAAATACACACGCACACACACACACCTACATGATAAAAATAAATCCTACTTCCCCTTCTTAAAGATTTTTAAAAATTTATTTTATTGAGGTACGAACACTTAATGTGAGATCTATCCTCTCACCACATGTTTAAGTACACAATGTAGCATTGTTAACTAGGGGCATAATGTTTTATAGCAGGTCTCTACAATTTACTCATCTTGCACATAAAAAACCCTACTTCAGAAGAACTATCTTCCTTACCAGTGGTTAAACTTTCATTCAGGATTTATTCACTCTGTCATTCAACAAGTATTTGGTTTGCGTCTACAACACATAGGCAACAAGCTGAGTTGCTATGAGGAGATACAGCAGAACAGGCTCAATTCCTATCCCTGAATGTTCCCTGACTAGCAGACATATGCAGAAATTGCTTGACCATGGTTGTTGTCAAATGCCTAAACAGGTGCCCTGGGTTTTCCCATCATAATCCATTCTCCAAACGTCATAGGGCAAATACCACAATTAAAAACCACATGATTAAAGACCTGTGTGCCAAAACAGGATCCCAGCGATGCAATCCAAAACCAACCAGGACATTACTTGAGCCTTTAAGACTCAATTAACTATTTAATGTGTGGTTTCTGGATGTCTAGCTTAAGGGAACTGAAATGGCAGACAGGAAAGCAACAGTCAGGCTCATGTTGGGGTTGAAGGGCAGAGGAATTATTTTTCTTAGAAAGCTAGGATTTCAACTTGGAGAGTACTGCTCCAGAAAATAAAAAGTATTGAATGAAAGGTCTATTCATTAACATTATTTGACAGAAAACATGACCTTAGAGAGGAGGTAAGATCGTGAGCAGGGGGGAAAAAAAGTGCTATTTATGGTTTGGATATGGTGATCCAGAGCACAATTAAAGGCTGAAATGAAGTCTGTGTAATAGCAGGGTTAAAATGTTAGAGAAATATGCGACATTGTTATTGTATCATCTTATTTGGGACTGTTGGAAAACGTTTTCCAACTATCAGAGTGAGCTCCTGGAGAAGGCAAAAAGCTCTCTGGAGAGAAATCTCAATCTGGGACAGAAATGAAACTGGAAGGACAGTGATCTACAAAGAAAAGGCGAAGCTCACCACAGACCATGTATCTCATAACCCCAGAAAGTGGGTGATCTTCTGACCATGAGGGAGGGCAGGGAAAGAACTGAAGACTCAGGAGGATGAGAGGACATTCATACACCACTGTGATCAATGTGTCGAGATCCGGTGGCCGTAACAAAACTAACAGCCTGTTAGCACAAGTAGAAATGAGAAGGGCAGAACTGACGTTGGCTCAGGTGGGTGCCATTCAGGGTGCCCTCCCCCGTGCCCTCCCCGTCCCCCACACTAATCCAGGGTCTGCCACTCAGCAGCTGTGAGAGTAGATAGGAGAGGAGGTATGAACATCAGGTATCTGTTTCTGGTGTAGGTTTACTGCATCCTGGCTCTGGACAGTCATGGGGCAGGTGGCCCTTTACCTTGACAACTTTCTTCTCCTGATTTACAAGCTATTTTGATCATTTATCCTTTTCCTTAAGATAGCAAGGAAAGATTTGTGGCATGCACTTGTTTACAGCATCTAACAAATGAGTTACTTTTTTCTATTACGTTATGGTAGTCACGCCTAACTGAAATTAGTCTTATTTTTACTTCCTCTATTAATATTATCTTATTTTAGTCCTAATTTGTTCTATTCCCCTTGGTTAACTTATTTTCTGGCCTCAAAAATAGTAAACACTTGACTGTTAATTTTTTGTATCCCTTCCACACAGGATGAATCCAGTAATCAGAACGACTAATCACTGTTTGCCTTTCAAAATGTAAGAACACACATGACTGCATTGTGCACATCTAATTCATTATAACAGCTTCAGTTACCACACCAACATCAGTTTAATAGTCAACTTAATAAATTTTGTTTCTAAATTTTGGCATCTAAGATTCTGTAGGGTTCTTGTTTAATCTTTCAGCTTAAATTCTAAAAACTTACCAAGGCACAAAAGTAACAGTGTTGATATAAGCCACAATTACACCTCTTGAAACTCTCTCTCTTTTTCTTGCAGCATACTGAAAAACAACATGAAAAATGCTTATTTGCTTTTGGACAGAGATTCTGAGGTACACCATGATCTGGGCATTGTAAAAGGTAGGTTTTTTTTTTTTTTTTTTCTGTAAATACAGTAACAAAAGATGGCAAAACTGAGTGGAAAGTTTATCTTCATCAGTAATTCTAAAGGGAAGAAGGAAGACCTCAACACAGTCTTCCCCAAGTTGTTTAAAAAAATTCTCTCTCTCGCATATGCAAATACACATACTAAACATGCCTATCTGTACTTCATAGGTGTATCTGTATATACGAAGGCATGATACGAGAGAAAGTAACATGCCAAACGAAAACTATAAACGGGGGGTAAATCAAGGTACTAGTGCTGGAGCAATATGGGGTAAGGGAAGTCAAATACATGAAGTATGCAAGAGAAAAGTCACTCAAGTATCCTGACTAGGAAGTAACCTTATGAACCAGGGTTGCAGGTGCAGTTTAGAAGGGCGAAGGGGAAGATCCTGCCGCAGCTCAGCAAAGACATCATAAAGGGGTGGATGAAGAGGTTTCCAAAGCGCTAAGAGACGGACAGAGGAATGAGCATGTCCTGGTTGCTAGTGTGGACATGGAGATTATGCACAAGTGTGCCTCCAGAGCCCCATGACGGGCAGTTTAAGCAAGATTCTGCTGAGTACAGAAATAGAGCTGAGACAGCCAATATTGATACCTTAAGAGGAGTCACGAGGACCACGTGAAGGTATATTCTATAGGGAAGCAGAGATGTAGGACTGAAGCAAGTGTGAGAGGTAGGAAGTGTGGATAAAGACTGCAGATATGCATTGGGAGCTACCACTGAGAGCAAACAACTTGTTAAAAGATGTATAAGCACGTACAGGGCAAGTGAAATGGCAATGTCAAGCCTACTTATGCACATATTTAGCAAAACAAAATACCTTATCTCATTATCCTCTTCGTTAATCTGTATATTTTCAACTGTCCTTGTGAGATTCGGTTGTTTCTTCTGGGAAAAGAACAAGGACATAGATTGTAGAAACATCAACGGACAGTATAATATTCAAGAGGTAAATGGTCTCTACTTTGATCTTTATGTCAATAACTCCAACATCAGGGTTTTGTTTCCCAGCATGTAAAATATTTCTACAATAAAAAGTTATGAAAAATGCACCGTATTAGCGACTTAACATTTTCAGGGTGTTGGAGGTGAAAAAGCAACGAAGAAACAAAGATTTAAATGGTAATCAAATTCAAAAGACATTTCAAAAAGTTGAATCGTAATGATTTAGCACATTTTAAAATCTGAGACAGGTTTCTGTAAGAAGAGAACAAAAGAAGAAAAATCCAAAATAGCAGATAATACAAATGACATTTCTGTTTGGCTTTAAGTGCATCATATGTTTTTCAGTCTATTTCTTCCTTTTTACATTTAGTTCAGGCTATTAAAACCAGTTATCATTTCTTAAGTGTACATTTAAAAACAATTTTTTTTTTAACATTTCTTTATTCTTGAGAGAGAGAGAGAGAGGAGGAGGAGGGAGTGGGAGTGGCGAGGAGGCAGAGAGACAGAGGCGTGAAACAGGAGTGAGCAGAAAGACAGAGAGAGGGACACAGAATCCTAAGCAGGCTCCAGGCTCTGAGCTGTCAGTACAGAGTCTGACGCGGGGCTCGAACTCAAGGGCCATGAGATCATGACCTGAGCCAAAGTCGGACGTTTTACCGACTGAGTCACACAGAAGCCCTTTAGATGTACATTTTCAGATAGAGGGGTTTTCTCCAAAGCATGACAAGGAATGAGGGCAAAGCCTTAAGATTTAGATTTTATTGAGACTAAATTAAGGTAGGATCTTTTCTCAGAAAAGGGGTGGCTTGTTAATCATTTATGTAAATGTAGTATGAGCAAATAAACATCTGAAATTCAGGAAGTTTTGATCAAGAAATAAAAAGAGTAGCAACCCTTACCTTCCAGTAGAAGGCTCCAAAAGCAAATCCGATTACAAGAGAAAAGCACGCTGGTAATGCCATGACTGCCCATTGTATGCTGGAGTCTTCTATGGGATTTGTGGCCTTCCCTGTAAGGAAAACAGTACAGTGGTGAACACGGCATATCCATGCTAGAGGTTTGCTCTCATGCTGTGCGTGGTTGGCCCCACCTGTTGCCATAACGTACTCTTGACCTATCTCTGTTTGGAATATTTGGAAAACTGGTTTTTCTGCTGAATGTTGTTTTGGGACAGCAATACAAGTCCGTGTCGTCTCCAAAATAGGTAGGAGGAAAAAGAAAAGAAAACCCACAGAAGGTTATCTGACTTGGTTAATGTTGACACATATGGACCACAGACGACATTTTCCGAAAAATTATTTACAATATCAAGGAAATCTAAAACCTTTTCACTTTTTCACTCGTGACATCTTGCCAAGAAATTTTAGAGGACGTGTTGCATTCTGGATCAAGGTCGGTATGCATTATGCTGTTTGGCCTGCTGCATATATTAAGTCATTAAATATACTTTGTGGTTAGGGTCCTTTTAGGTACCTCACCCTCAGAGTCATGGCATTGCCTCACCACATCTCCGGTATCCATTTACTGCACACCAGAGAATGCCCAACACGGTGCTAAGGACTAAAGGTTTAATTTTTCAGACTTACATTGGAAAGCCCCAGAGTACCAAACACTAAGAATGGTTGAAAGAACCAGTGTCCTCTCATTGCTTACTCTAAATAAAGTAACAGCGTGAGAGAGAAAACGTGTGAGATTAAATTGGTCCTCCTCAGCTTTGATCCTGCTTGGCAGAATGATCGATGAATTAAACAAAACACATCTCCCACAAGGGTCTCTTCTCCTGTATCTCCTTACAAGGAACAGCTTAGCTGTTAGAACACACGGACACACATGCCAACTGGTAAGAGTCAAACCTGAAAAGGTTTTATGCATTTTCAGCAATTATAAGAACAAAATGTAAACTAATCCAAGGTAAAGTGACCATTTGGGGCTATAATATTGCACAAGATCTGGGTTACTGTGTCAGCCTAAGGTCACCTATTTAACATATTAAGTGCCTAAAGTATATAATGTAAGAGAACCAAACCACTGTTACGTGTATAAACATTTATAAGGAGAAAATGAACTTACAGATTTAACCTGAGAGGCAAGAAACAAATGCTATCTACTGCAGGGAGAACAGGAATTGCCCATTTCCCCACCATTTGTAAACTGGGAACAGGAAGTTCAATTCTAGGATTCCTGTTTCCCAAAGGCTCTAATAGGAAGTGTGTGTGTGTGTGTGTTAAGGGGAGGGTTAGTGAGTCATGGGTACCCCTTACACATAAGGAACAGGGAGACTATCTGGATAGGGAAGTGGGGTCATCTATCCTGAATCACTTCCTTAAGACTCAACTACTGTATCTTCTGGCCCACCCCCCATCCTACAGCCCCATGGGAAAGAAGTTTCAGGAGTTTTAAAGTGGAGTTCAACATGGATTCTTTCAGCAAAGTAAGCCAGAGTTACAAAATGCGATTTGGTAGAATTGAAGTAGTACTACTGTCATTATGATAATATAGCTATTTTAAGGGTTACAGAAGATTATGTGTGCTAGTCTGGGATTTGACTACCATTTATAAAGAGTTTTCTCTCAGAAAATGGATTCAGAGTTATAAGCAATTTTTGCCATTTTAGGCATTTTTTTTTAATTTTTTTTTTAATGTTTATTTTTTTGGGACAGAGAGAGACAGAGCATGAACGGGGGAGGGGCAGAGAGAGAGACACAGAATCAGAAACAGGCTCCAGGCTCCGAGCCATCAGCCCAGAGCCCGACACGGGGCTCGAACTCATGGACCGCGAGATCGTGACCTGGCTGAAGTTGGACGCTTAACCGACTGAGCCACCCAGGCGCCCCATTTTAGGCATTTTAATATCACTGTCTGTAAATAACTTGGCTATTTGTGGTTGCATTCCAGTAACAAGTTTGATTTCTCCCAGGGGGCCACTCTGCTACGGCCCACAGTGTCTATTGGGACTGCTGTGTAGTTATGACAGATTTGACCAGGTGACGTCCTGGAGGGATCCCCTAATGAAGGTATCCAGAGAGAACAGAGGAAGCTTCTGATGTTTTTGTCCCCCGACACCAATGGAAAACTAATGAGCCAGGATGGTGCTATGGAAAATTCCATTACATATGTTTGGATAGCCAGATGCCCTGGAATCAAGGCAGCCAAACACCCTGTTTTTCCCCTTCTTTCAAAAAGCCAAATCTTGAATTGAGCCATTCAGACCACAGGAAGGACCAGGCCCACTACAGCAACAAGCAGAAGCAGGCTACTAGAGAAAGAGGCATTCTGGGATTCCCCACTCACAATCTTTCTCAGGTAGGACGGCCCCTAAAGAAGGTGTTCCAAACAAAGCCATGCTGGAGGAGAGATCTAATTAAAGAGAACTCACCTCATGCTTCCAGAGTATTGTGACTTTTTAACCATTTGAAAAGTCCTTCCCCTCCCTGCTCCTGGACTTTGGCCCCAAAGTCTTCGCATCTAAGACATAGAAGCAATCCACTTGCCAGAGGGAGGGGCCTGGTAAAGACCGGGAGGAGAAAGGGACAGGAGAACTGAGAGCTTCACCTCCTTAAGGGGTCAATGTTACCTTGCTTTTGTTATTTCTCATTAATGCAAAGAGCTTAATAGCCAGCCTTCGGTTCTCTCCACTGATACTGCCATCCCTCTTGCAGAGAAAGAAAAAGGATGTTGTAAGAAAAGGCTTGTTCACACCTTCATAGCTTGGCTCCCAAGAATTTCTATTGCTGCTATCTATGTGGGATCAATGAGATTTGAACTGTCTGCCTCAAGGCCCATACGGTGGGTGTCTGGGGTCAAAGCCCAAGCTAGTAACAAGGCTTTGCTTTTAGTAAAGAGTGTCCCAGAAAACTTGTGAGGTAAGGGGGCTCATCTGGACAGGATTTGAGTAATCCCAAATCCCTGGGTTGTTGTTATAATGGTTCTCTCGTTATTATGAAAAGGGTCCATTGTCCAAAATTTATGGGAACTGATTTGTTTGGTTTGACTTATAATACACAACATCTGTTCAAACACAGGACACAAAAAACTGCGCTACAATTTTGCTGAACTACTATTTCGAATGATTCTGCTTATGGGCATCACCATGTCTGTGAACATGGATCTCTTGGTGCTTAGAAAACCTGTAGCTCAGTGTCCCTCCATGATTCAGATTCAAAGCTCACTGTAGGCTTGCCACATTTACTGACCCACAGGCTTGGTGTACCTGACAATTCTAACACTTAATGATGAACACATACATAAGGCATTGTGAGAAGCCCACTGGCCCAATCAAAGGAGGGACACAGAGACTCGGAGCACAGTGAAGTGAGGCTTTAATCAACGTTCTTGCAACATTGGGTGTCTGAGGGACAGGCACGCTCAGGGAAGTTGCGGCAAACCATTTTTTTCCTAGCATGCAAGTCCTTCCTCTGGTTCCTCATTGGCTGAGTAATAGAGGTTACCGCCTGGGACACAGACAATGCCTATGGCCCATGTCAAGCAGAAAGCAGTCTGACTGGAACAAATGTACATTCCCTGAGGTGACACAGACTTTCAGTCCCTCCTCCCTTTGCTCTTGGGCACATGCTCATTGCAAAGCCTGAAAAACAGAGAGGGTAAGAAGAACCAGGAAGTGAAATGTCTAAGGGTTTGGGTCTCCATTGTGTGTGTGTGTGGGTTCGTACTTATTTCCAATAGGTTGTAAACCTGTTAACTAGATAGCACAGCTTTTTAAAAAAAATTTTTTTTTAATGTTTATTTATTTTTGAGAGAGACAGAGACAGAATGAGAGTGGGTTAGAGAGAGAGACAGAGAGGGAGACACAGAATCTGAAGCAGGCTCCAGGCTCTGAGCTGTCAGCACAGAGCCTGATGCGAGGCTCGAACTCATGAGCTGTGAGATCAAGACTTGAGCCACCTAGGCACCCCATACATAGATAGCACAGCTTTTATTTGGTACTTCTGAAAATACTGCCCTTACTTCTCACAGGCAAGGCTCCAAGTTCATGTGTCTTAACACATTTAAAACTCACAGAAACCTTCTGAAGGAGGTATTATCCTTCATTTGACTGGCAAGTCTAGAGAAATTAAGTAACTCACCCAAGGTCACACAGTTATCCAAGGGCTAATGCTGGGATATAAGCCCAGGAGGTCTGACTCAAAGACTCTCTTTTTAGAAGATGTATAAGGTAATGTCAAAGTAAGAATTTCTTCCAATATTCTTCTTAAATACTGTCTGCAAGGATCTTAAACATCCTTTTAGCTTGGTATATAAAGTTAATTACTTTTACTGTGAAAACCCAATTCCTTTTGGGTAACTTGAACACTTTTATAAGGGAGAATCATGGGATAATACAAGATATGAGAGGACACTCATATCTCAGGACTCCTTCATAGACTTTGGTCTTCTGGCTAGCATGGCCACTTTTTGATTCTTATCCGGAAAACTGGTGTGATCACTTCAAATTTCTCTGGCCATATTCCCCCCAGAAGTCTTACCTCCTTTATGCTACAACTAAAAATGTTTACATACTTCTATTATGATACATATTGTAATCCATACATGGTATATATGATAAAATACTATGAGTATTTTATTTATGTATGTGTCTTTTAGAAAGATGTAAGCTCTACAAGAGCTCGTCTTTGTGCATGGCTATCTAAGTGCTATATTGATGAGTGACATCTGACAGCAGCAAATTATGCAAGATCCATATTTTTTACAAAAAAGAAAAAAAAAGAAAAAGCAAAACAAAGAAAAAAGAACACTGACCATTCATTTTGTAATTTAAAAAATACCTTCAGACTCAGAGGCACAGGACTGAATAGGTGTTTTATATTCAGTTGTTTTTGAGTAAGTAGAAAAGACTTTTGTTTCCAACCATGATAATAGCAGATTAGCCCTCCCAACCTAAATAGTTATTATCATAGACAGATTATAGGCGGCAGTTACTTTCATACATTAGCCAACAGATAGCACAAGAATGTATTCCCTAAGAGAGTAAAAACACACATGGTGAGTCCCACGATTGTCTTCATTTTCTAGCTAGGAGGTATGGAAGATAGAGCCCAAGGAAAGTTCAATGGTCTCACTTGAGATAGGGTATCAGAGACTGAAGTTCAGGGATGCAGTGGCCACAGTTTGTGGGGCAGGTTTATTTGTGGGAAAGGAGCGGGGTCGAAAAGAAATCTCTGGAGGAATCTCCTTAAGTCACCAGTTAAGAAACAAGCTGTACATGGACAGAAAGAGACTTCACAAAACCTGGCAATAAACAACACCTGGGAAGCTATGACCTTGGCATTCAGAGACAAAGGAGCTCTGACAAGCAAGAATGGAGAGATTTTCTAAGCACTCAATATCTCAGAAATTTCACGCCTTAGAAAGAAGGCTACTCTTCCTCTTTCCTCCATGAAAGCTTAAAAACAAGACTGACAAGGAAAATAGTCTGCCAGTAATTGAACTGCCTACCTGAACAAAACTCAAAAGTCTCTAAAGGAATGAAACAAAATCTGCTTTCTCAAAAACATAGTATCCATAATATCCAGCATATATTCAAAAAATTACTAGTTATTTAAAGGGAAATGTGACCCATAATCAGGAGAAAAAAGCAGTCAATATACACTAACCCTGAGATGACCTACATGGTGAGATTAGGAGACAAGAACTTTTAGAGCTTTATTAACTATAGTTGGCACTTGAACAATGTGGGGGTAGGGGCACGACCCCCTTGCACAGTTGAAATCTATATATAACTTTTGACTCCCCCAAAACTTAACTACTAATAGCCTGCTAACTGGAAGCCCTACCAATAACAAATAATCGATTAACACATATTTTGTATATCTATCCTGTATCCTCACAATAAAGTAATCTAGAGAAAAAATATTAAGAAAATCATAAGAGAAAATACATTTATAGTTCTGTAAAAAATCCATGTATAAGTGGACCCATGTGGTTCAACCCCATCTTGTTCATGGTTCCAGGGGCCAAAAAAGAAAATATTATCATAATGAATATGCAGAATGCAAATCTCAGCAGGAAAATAACAATCAAATGGAAATACTAGAATGCAAAATACAAACTTAGAAATGAAAAAAATGCACTAGATCCAAACCCAAAGAATGTACAGCAACAAGAGTGAACCCTATGTAAAATATGCACTTCCAATGATTATGATGTGTCCATGTAAGTTCATCAGTTGTAACAAAGGTACTTGGGGGCCGGGAAGGGGATGCTGATAATAGGAGAGGCTGCACATGTGTGGGGGCAGGGAGTGTGTGGGAAATCTCTGTACCTTCTCAATTTTGTATGAATCATAAACTGCCAGAAAAAAAATTAAAAATAGCAAAAAATAAAAATGTACTGGATGAAAAGTTTAGCAGCTTACAAATGGCAGAAGAGTCAGGGAACTTGAAAACAGGTAAGTAGAAATTATACATTTTGATGAATAGAGAAAAGAGATCGGGGCAAGGGAAAACAATGAACAAAACCTCTAACATCTGAGATAATATTAACCTACCTAATATATGTGTTCTTGGCATGTGTGTGATTAAATATACTATGTAGCACAAAAGATATTTCTCCTATTTTTTTCTTGGTGCTACAATATTAACTAAGTAGAACATTTCAAGTTAAGATATATATTGTAACTCCTAAAACAACCACAAAATAATAAATTTTAAATTTTATTGAAAACAAAATAATAAAAAAAATTAACCCAAAATCAACCTGGAAAGGAGAAATAAAGAAATGAGGCAAATAGGAAACAAAATGGTAGACCCAAATCCAACCATATGTTGATATGATGATGATAATAGTAATAATATAACTGTATTAAATATAAATGGATTAAACACTCCAATTAAAAGTCAAAGACTTGCTAAAATAGCAAGGCCCAACTATATACTGTCTACCAGAGATGTACTTTAAAAATAAAGACAATAGATTGGAAAGAAAAAAATATACCATGAAAAAAGTAAGGATAAGAAAAACTGGCTCTACTAATGCAGATAAAATACACTTCAAGACAGAATACTAGCAGAGGTAATGAGGAATATTTCAGTAACAATATAAAGGTCTGTTAATCAGGAAACCCATAATAATAATCAATATATAACCACCTAATAATACAGCTTCAAAATATATGAAGTGAAAAACTCATAACCAAAAGGACAAATGGCCAAATCCACAATCTTAAGATTTTTAATACCCCTCAGTAATTGATAAAAAATTAGACAAAAAAATGTAATAAAGATATTGAAGATCTGAACACTATAACCATTTTGATCAAATTTGAGAATGCTACACTCCATATTTGAATGATACACATAAAATAAGTCTCAATAAATTTTGAAAGATTACAGTGTATGTTTTCTGACAACAGAATTTAGAAACCAGTAAGGTACCCAGAAGAACCACATATGTTTAGACATCAAGCAACCCATTTTAATATTACCCATTAATCAAAGAATAAATCACATGGATAATTAAAAAATATTTTTGAGGAAATGATGGAAACACAATATATCAAAGTGTATGGGATGCAACTAAAGTTGTTTACAAGAAAACTTATACCTTTAAGTGCTTATATTAGAAAATTAGAATGGTTTAAAAATCAATGATTAAATTTTTCTACTTGAAGAAAACTAGAAGTTAGCTGAACAAACTCAACCCCAAGTAAAAGGAAATAAGAAAGATTAGAAATCAATGAAACAGGGGCGCCTGGGTGGCTCAGTCGGTGGAGCATCTGACTTCGGCACAGGTCATGATCTCATGGTTCATGGGTTCAAGCCCCGCATCAGGCTCTGTGCTGACAGCTCAGCCTGGAGCTTGCTTCGGATTCTGTGTCTCCCTCTCTCTCTGTCCCTCCCCCACTCGTGCTCTCTCTCTCAAAAATAAACATTAAAAAAAATTTTAAAAAAATGACATAATATAAACTAAGAAGCTAAAAGTTGCATCTTTGAAAAGATTAATAAAATTGGTAGTAGAGATCTTAACCCATGTAGTCCGTTCTTAAAACTTTTCAGATCTGATGTGTTATGTAATTCAAAATTTCAGATTTTACAAAGTTCTGTCTTACAAATATTGTATATAATATCCTCATTGAGGTCTGGGTAGCACATTGTAATCAAACATAGTATATCTGTAGTGAAATCAAGAAATATTCACTTTTGGAAGGAAAAATACTATATATAAATAGCCTTATCACAGGTCAAGTCCAGTTTTGGTGGCCAAAATTCCTAAACAAACGGATTTTAGAAGTTTTTAAAAATTTTCTGAATTGCAGATTTGTTATGGTGGATTGGTACTAAATTGATTACTCTTATTTACAGGTAGTTCTTCTATGTCCCTGATCATATGACAGTGCCCCATTACAAAGTTTTGAGGGATGATTTTCTTAGCTAAGATCACAGGATGAAGTTCTTCCTCCTACAGCTTCCATGAAACTAGAGGATCAGAATATTTAGTAAAACCCAATGATCTTTATAATGACCTTGCCTGTATTTGAAAAGAGGACATTAGACTTGCACAAAATTGGGTTCTTGGTTAAAAGGAAAGAAATTTCAGGCAAAGCAGCATATTCTCCTCTAAAATAATTTTATAGTAAAATAAAATCATCAAATGTACAAACACACAATAGTAAATACTGTGAATAGTAAATATAAACAAAACTGAAAATATCCTTGGAATTCTATATAACCAACATTTGTACTTTCAATTTTTAAATTCCATTTTTGTCAGGCAAATTTCACATAAAAATATAAGTTGACAATGAATAAAGCTTAAAAGTATCTAAAATTAATTACATGCCTTATGTAAAATAATTTTAGAAGATTTTGACCCAATTCTCTAAAAATTATTTCCAGTTATAGGGAAACCCACTTATACAAGCCTAATATTTAATTCTGAGGAAGACCATAACAGGAAGAACAGTAACAGAACAGTATTAATAGTAGTAATTGCAGAAATTTCCTTTAAAGCCCATGCAATACTCCTATAGATGCTAACTGGAGTCATGCATGCATTAAATCAGATATATGTACTTACTATTACTGCTACTGCTGTCATTCCTAAGGGAGCTGGCTGCAACAGGGGGTAACATAAATGGTTTTGTGACACTGACCCTGGAATCTAAATAGAAAGCAATAATGTGTCAGTGTTGCATGGCGATTTAATGAATTACAGAGTCCGCAAAAGCCTGAAGTGCAATACCAGAATATTTTCTAGGTCTGCTTCCCAAATCTTGATTATTAAGATCCTATTTATTTCATACTGAGTCCTGTTCTATTTTTATTAAATGCACCACAATCACATTATAGAACAAGGATTCATTGCTTACATAGGTTAATAAGTATGAGTAACACAAATTGTTGGTAACTGGTCTTAAAAACAAAACAAAACAAAACAAAACAAAACAAAACAGAAAAAGCAATGAAATTAGATTTTGTAATACTGGGACCCAGTGGGAAAAAAGGTTCTTAATACAGAGTAACTACTGAAGATCAGAATTCATGACCCAGAGGCAGACCTTAAGGAAAAGATTTGAAAAGGGTACATTAAGAAGAGTGGAGGTGAAGAATAATATACTTGCACAATGCTAGCAAAGACCAGATAAAAAATATGAGTGACTAATTCCTATATTGTTTACTCACACACAATTCTTATATTTGAAAATGAGGAGTGTTGCTGTGGCTTGAAAACCAACAAATTAACTGATCATTTCTTTCATGCCATTGATATAGGTCTTTGTATTACACATACATCTTTCTCTAGCTACACATATATTTGAGTCAGAAGTAGATTCTTACCTAAACATTCAAGATTCAAGCTTGCTTTTGACATTTAAATTAGAAATGCTTACATGTCTTACCTTTTTCAGGACTTAATGTTGAAGAAACCACACATTCACTAGTTTTAGATGCCACCATCTCCAAGTCCTTGAAGGCATCAATGGATCTATTAAAAATTCTAAAGAATTCTTCAGGAGTAAAAAGCCTGGGTTCTGGGCTCTTAGATGATTTTTTTACATTCTAGAAAAATAAAAAAAAAAGGATTGTGTTTTTCAGATAATTTACAGATTTAACTGACGTCAAGGTAATAGATTATAAATATGTCCTCCAGAGACTCAAGTAAAATTGATACTTTTAGACAACTGCTTTAACACACATAATTCAATTGGTACTGCAAGGTAGTGATCCCCATCCAGTTAGGTCTGGGGCTCAACTCCAGATAAAAGGAATGGGGTGCTGGTGAGGATGAGTAAGGTGACTAGAAATGCTTTAAAATAATTATTCCTCAAAAAAAAAATACCCTTACATAACACATTCTCCAAATAGCCCAAAATTAACAATTCTGATGATACTAAATATTGCCAAGAATATGGAACAAAGGGGACCCATATACTGGTGGAATGATGTAAACTGGCACATTGGATATCCTCTGGTAAAGTAGGACATGTGTCCATTTTGTAACCCAGCAATTCTACTTCTAGGTGAATACTCTAGTGGAGTTCTTGCACATATGCACCAGGAGACATATAAGAAAGTTCTTAGCAACAGTATTCTATAACCCTTACATCAAACAACAGAAGAGTGGTTTAATAAACATTGGTATATTGAATCAACTCTATAAGCAGGAAAAAAACTGAGTTTCAGCTGTATGCATCAAAGTGAATATAAGTTATAAACAATGCTAAGTGAAAGAACCAAGTTATGAAAGAATAAAGAGTATGATTAATTTCTAGAAGTTCCCCAAGAAAGCAAACCAACACTATAGTTTAGGAATTTGTAAATGCATGATTACCTATAAAGAAAAGAAGGTAATAACAACACCTATGTATCACTTGCTATATACCACTCTAAGTGCTTTATATAGATTAACTCAATCGTCAAAAAAATTGAGAAATACCAGCTGGGTTCTTGCCAAAGTGCCATGATTAGTAAGTGTACATTCTCCAGTGTTTGGGGTACTCTTCTCGACATCACCCTTTACCTAGCACCTAACTCCATCTTTCAAGCTCCAATGGGAGCTTATTTCCTCCGTGACACTGTCCCTGATATGCCCTACTTTTGGGGTCCTTGACCTTGTATCATTGCCCTCAGAACACTATTTGTACTAACAATATGAAAAGACACGTTAACTCTAAGAGGCTATAGATTTTAAGACACACTATTCAGAAATTAGAAAGTAAAGCACAGAAGTGATGAAATACAGTGAGGAGGCTATTAGTATGGTAAGAACTCTGAGTTTGAAACACAAATGGGACTGACATTGGGTCTTGAAGAGTGACTGGAAGATGGATGAGAAGGTAGTATTTGAGTTTTACAGTACAGAACCATGTTTAAAACCTTAGATTTAAGCATCTAGAAGGCCTGTAGGATAAACCCTGAACTGTAAACTCTATGCCAAAGCAGGCCTCCCAAGACCTATCTTATTATAGATGAGGTGTTCTAAAATAAGAATAAGAAATATTTATTAGGATTTATTTTGCCAGACATGGTACTAAGGCATTAATCAGAAATCATCCAATGTCAATTCCGTGAGATGCATCCTGTCATTGTCCTCATTTTAGGCATAAAGAAAGTGAGCACAGAGAGGTTAAGTTCACAAAGCTAATTAGTGACAGAGTCAGGATTTGAACCCTAACACCTCATTTTTAATCTCTGTACTCTGCCTCTTCAATATACTTAGATCTGAAAACACTGCCATGACCACATTCTGAGGCTGGTGACAACGAATCATCAGATGCCCTGGACTGGAGATGTGAAAATGCACTTCATTGTTGTGACAGGATTACTATGGATAAAAGGTTAAGTAAGAGTGTTCATTATAGGTAATTTTCCATTTAAAGATAAATGAACATTTGTAACCTAATAGGTAGGTTAGAAGGACTTCACTCCCTTCTGAAATAAAGGTGTTTTTTTTTTTTTCTTACGTTGAGGTGTGAATAAATTTTATTTTTATGTTAAGTAACAACATTTAAGCCTTAATGTAGATTTCGGCATTGCAGGGTAACTACAAACACCTATTCACTGTGCTCATCTGAAAATAATTTTTAATTAAAAGTCTTTAAATTAAAAACTTCACAAATAGAGACAACCCCACTCTTGCCACTGCCAAAGGGCATAGGTTTTGGAGAAAAGTAGTAAAAAAGGAATCCCAGGGAATACAAAGTTACCTCAGATGAGTGTCCTTCCATGCACTCCACAAGGTCATCCACTATTTTCACAAGTTTGTCTATGATAGAATAATTACTCAAGCCTTCAGAAATATTCGAAAACTTGTCCAGAAGATCAGTCAAACTGACTGACAACTGTTCCACCATCACGCTTATCCAACAATGACTAGGCTGAAAGAAATTGAAAGAAAGGAAGATAAAATCTCTATGGTCAGTCACCCCTCAAAGACATCAATGTTTTAGTCACTGCTGGATAAAGAATTTCCTTATATCAGAACAGGTCAGATGTTTTGTTTACCTCAGATTTAACATTGGTTTCAAAATTTGCAAATTAATAAAGATCAGAGCCAATATTGATGATGAACAATATTGCTCTCGTATGGAAGTAAACTAAGACAGAGCCAAGTCTTACCCTTGACGAGGTTTACTCACTGTTCTTAGAAAAGCTTTAGCACAGAGGGAGTTAAAAAAAAAAAAAAATTGTAGGAGAGAGCCCTAGCCTTCAAGGAACTTGCAGTCTTTTGGTGAACTGAAATAATAAGCAATGGATTAAAAATAGCCTGTTTTTCCAAACTACTTGATAGATTTCAAGGTTTCTTTACACACAAATTCATGTGGGTCTTTAAAAATCAAACAACAATCATGGCAGGAATGTGGTCTGAGAGAGAAGCACTTTTGCCTTAGCAGCAGGACCAGCCACATAATTTGTGGGTCCAAGGACAAAATGAAAATACATTTATTGTTCAAAAAGTTGTTCAAAGCTGACTAATTACAAGATGGTGACAGTAAAGCATTAAACCAAGCACAGAGTCCTGCCCATGACGCTAGCCCTGCCCATTGGTTAGAAGCTCAAATCTTAAGAGTCAGGTATAACTGGGTTTGTTTTGGGCTGAGAAACTCCAGACAAGCCACGTAAATTCTCTGAACCTCTCTTGGATGGGAATGGGAATAATGGAACAAGGTAGTTATGGGGAGATAATGTACATAATTTGTAAGTTTTATGAAGGCAGTATTTTTTTTTTTTATAAAAGCTTGTTCCCCATGGTGTCCCTATGGCCTAGAACTGTGTCTGGCATGTGAAAGTTGCTCAGAAATTATTTGCTGAACAGATGCATGAGTGAAGAAAAAATACAGGAGAAAAAAATTACTCTGTCAGGGATCTATACTTTATGTAAAGAGCCAGATAATATGTTAGACTTGGCATGCTAAGAGGCAAAAATAAAGGATATTATGTAGGTACATATAGAGAGAGAAAGAAAATTTCTACAAAACTTTTATTACAGAAAATATAATCGAATATAATTTCTTTTGCATAATAACCAAATTTAATCTTTTTTAGTACAGGTCTACCAATAAAATTAATGGAATTCTTTATTTTGGGTCAGCATTTGGTGTGGTTGGGCCTCACAGCATTCTCTATTATCAAACAGACCACAAATGTCCATCTGTAAAAACTAATCTCAGTTAGCTGGCCATATAAAACCAGGTGCAGACTGGATCTGACCTACACGGCATAGTTTCCCAACCTTGGCTATGAATGGTTCTGGGCCAGTAGAGGTTTAGATTATTAGGAAAAACCTCCTTGATACATTAAAATGGATTTCAGGATTTTTTAAATTATTGCAGTGTTACTTAAAATAGTTACTTAAGTTCATATATATTCTGTATTTTAATGTTATGTTTTCTCACAAGGATCTTTTAGGTAGAAGCTCTGATTTTTTTCTTTAATCTGCTAAAATGTAACAAATGAGGGAAAAAAGATTGGGAATGGCTACAATTGCCATAGCTTATGTGATCCCCTAAATTATTTAAAATAACTTCTGCTGTAATAAATATATTATAATCACAGGGAGTAACTGATGCCACGTAAAATGAATCAAACCACTAAACCCGATTTCTACCAGCAGAATATCTCTAAGGGAAGGCCAAGTAATTTATCCTAAATTAGGATATTTGGGGGCCATCTATTCATTTAACAGAACAGTTTTAATTAATAGAACACAGCTAAAAAGGAGACTGGTTTATCTACAGAATGGTAAGCCCCAATTCCTGGAAGCACTAAATGACATTCAAAACTTTCAGGAGTGTTGGCTCTGGCTTCAGAAAAGTAGAATCAACAAACCCCCAAATGGGAATTAGTTCAATTAGGCCATTTCACTCAACTCATCAACCAAGTTCTCAAAGACTATGTGTTTCCAAAGAATGTTCAGAATGGATTCTTTGTTTACTCAGTGCTTATCCCAAGCACATGCAAGTTCACATTCACATCATTCGCACGTCTTTTTCCAAGATGTCAGTCTTTCCTACGGGGCTTAATCACTCTCCAAGTCTCCCACCATTTAGGCAATGATAGTTCCCTTTTAGATAGCCAGCCCTATCAGCAAGGGGCAGATTTCCTAGGATACAGGACACAGCATATCCTGGAAATACTGTTTGAAGGGTATTTATAGGGCAGGGAAGCCTTCCCCAATTAGTTGATTCTGTTGTAATTGTGCAAATTTTACTGTGGCAAGAAGATTTTAGGTGTTGGGTCTCTTCAAACTCTGTCATTATTCCGCTTTATAAATATTCTTGCCTATCCTTCCCCTCAGATCTTCTGATGTGGAAGAACCAAAATCAAGTTCCCTTAATCTGAAACAAGGTATTCATTTAGTTTCTGCAATCTTTGCCTTAAGTGAGCAGGTTTTTCTTTTTTTCTTTTTTGTGGTTAAAGTAGAAAAAAAATTTTGTTTATAGGTTTCTTATATTTAAACCAGGGAACTCTGGGGGTGCTTATTGCTACCACTTCTGTTTATCTCTATTTTCAGCTGAACTCTAGGTTTGCATTCTGCATTCAAGTTCTCATTTAGCTATGACGACTCCCTCATGGCCACCCACGTTCTGTCCACATACCTAATCAACAGCTGAGGCAATCAACTTTTTCCAGGAAAATCCTCAAGCCTAAACTTGTAATTTCTTACAGTGAAATCATGGCAATCCAACAATCTAATCTTAGCCAAATCTGCCCCTTTAACATGAATTCATCGATAGCCAATATGAAATTTCTGTACTACACTGCTGAAAAACACATCTCTAAACATCTTATAAGTTGTATTTCATTCATTATTCATTCTTGCAATAATTTTCTTGGAAAAAAATGTACAATTCAGAGTTCTATCTTTTCATTAATTTGTTCAAAGAGTTACATGTTAGGATTTTAGGATTCTTGGACTTATTTTTTTTATTTAAAAAAAAATTTCTTAATGTTTATTTTTGAGAGAGAGAGAGTGAGACAGTGTGAGTGGGGGAGGGCCTGAGAGAGGGAGACACAGAATCGGAAGCAAGCTCCAGGCTCTGAGCCATCAGCACAGAGCCCAATATGGGGCTCAAACCACAAACCACGAGCCGTGAGAACATGACCTGAGCCGAAGTCGGACACCTAACTGACTGAGCCACCCAGGCACCCCAGGATTCTTGGACTTATTAAAGATAGATCTGAGGTTAAAAAAAATATATCAAATATTGGCCAGTTTTGACCTGTCTCCCTGCAAAAAAGAAAAACAGTTCTGACTATATCATCAAGCAGTTTCATATTTTCTTTTTAATTAAATATAGTCAATGATTTGCAAAAGAGAACAAAATACAGTAAGCTAATACTTCATTTGTGAGATGACAGACCTGTTTTTTTTTTTTTTTTTGACTGATTCCAAGATTATGATTAGGAAATGGATGATTTAAGGCTATGGGGTTCCCAAATGTAATCTTTTCCTTTGCCTTAGTAACAGGCATTATTGTCACACTTTCTTAGCCTTCAGAGACAATTTTAAGCTCAAACAGTTCCATATAAATATTAACTCACAACATGCACCAGAAGAATGTAAGATATAAATAATGTTCTCTATTTTACTAAAGAAGAATGTGAAGAATTAGGAAAGTTGATAAAGCCACAGAGGAGTTCAATGAAGTGATGTAAAAAGTACCTTTCAAATTCTTAAAGTACATATACCTTAATGTTCGACTCACCTATATACATACAAAAAGAAATACAATCCTTGCTTTGAAAGGGAAAATCTAGGGGCGCCTGGGTGGCTCAGCCAGTTAAGTTAAGTGATTGACTTCGGCTCAGGTCATGATCTCACAGTTCATGGGTTTGAGCCCCGCAAGGAGCTTTGTGCTGACAGCTCTGAGCCTGGAGACTGCTTCAGATTCTGTGTCTCCCTCTCTCTCTGCCCCTCCCCCACTTGTAGTCCTCCTCTATCAAAAAAAAAAAAATTTAAAAAGTAATAAATAAAATAAAAATGAAAGGGAAAATCTATCTGGGTTTTCCTTAACTCCATACTCTCAATTTCTTATCTTCTTTCTTGGTAGCTTCCATCTTACATTTTCTGGGTTAATTACTGCAACTCTGGAAAAACCACTGGAAAGATATGCTTCCAATTCCTATATAACACATATCGTTCTAGAATGCTAAGTTAGTCAATGATAATGCATCAACATCCTTAACAGGCTACCATGCCCCTACCCTTGAAGATTTGCTTAAAAACTGTGAACCTCCTGTAAGTGATTTTTTTTTTAAGTTTAAAGTGTGTGAGCTGGGGAGAGGGGCAGAGGAAGGGAGGGACCAGGAGAGGGAGAGGGAGAGAGGGGGGTAGAGAGAGAGAAAAGTCCTAAGCAGGCTCCATGCTCAGCACGGATACAGATGTGGGGCTCCATCCCACAACTCTGGGATCACAACAGTAGGTGAAATCAAGAGCGGGGTGCTCAACCGAGCCATCTGGGTACCCCTAAGGGATTTTAAAGTTTACAGCATCATGACTAAGTTAATGATTTAACTAAATGATTAAATGAAAGATATAAAAACTATTAAAAGCATTCTAAACATAACTAGGAACACTACTGCTTCTAAAGATCAATAATGAAAAAATCCATGCACATTCTAAAACCACACATATTTAAAATACATAATATATGAATATATGAAATAGATAACATATGATATGTGATATAACACCTCTGCAATCCCAGAACTGATACATTTGAGACCCTGGCTGAAATTGTGTGTTTTAAAAACATCCTAGTGGGTGCCTGTGTGGCTCAGTCGGTTGAGCATCCGACTTGGGCTGAGGTCATGATCTCACCGTTCACGAGTTGAGCCCCACATAGGGCTTTCTGCTGTCAGCACAGAGCCTGCT